AAAATGAAATATTAAAAACACGATGTATCTCGCTGCATTGCGCGAGTACGCTTCTAGTATTAAATCAACCATTTAAAAATTTCATTTTTTATGTAATTTATTTTTTTATTATAGTTTAATTTAAGTTTAATAATAAAATAATTTATTTTTGGTTTAATAAAATAATATTTTATAAAGATAATAATTAAGTATTCTGCTATAACTCAATGATTATTCTATTTATATTTTATATTTTTTATATTTAAAATGAGATGTTTAACTTGTATTTGATTATATTTATTTGCAGTTAGTTATACGAATTCATATATAGAGCTTTAATAAGTTGTACTTACGCACAATCTACTTGCAATCTTGAGTTTTAAGTAATATGCATTAATAAACAGTACTTTACGCATAAAAAATAGTTTTTAAGAGTTTTTGTCAAATGCTTTATAATATAGTATAAATTATGGTAATTATTTTACGTAACTAGTAACATACTTTATGGATATGCTAGTATGTTAATATATAATCAGATTGGATCAGTTTAGTTATATTTATAGCTGATCATTTCGGGGTTTGGGTTGGATTCGAGCCAGACTTGACCTATTTTTTCCAACGAGCCTAATATTGTAAAACCAAGCCCGTTTTACGGGCTTGAAAACTTACTCATACCCGCCCTATAAACGGGCTAGACTTGCTCACAAGCTAACAGACTTAAAAATCTTGTTATATTTTTACGAATAAAAAAAACTTATATAAAATCACAAGTTATGATGTAAGATAATTCAAAATAGATAACAAATTTTTCAACTTAAATTTTTTGATGTAATTATATATAACAATATACATACTTTAGAAAGAAATTGTTTCGCGAAATATGAAGTATTGATAAAGAAAATGACTAAATGAGATAATAAGGAATTGATCAATTGAGATAATCATATTTTCAAATTTAAGATTTTTAAATAATGTTATTATCATGAGTCATAACTAGGTACGGTTTAATAAGTATTAACAATTTTTCAATTTTATTTGTAAATTTTAATTATAAAGGTTAATTGTTATAAAAATATTAATGGGTCTGACGGGCCTGCCCAAATTTTTTTTCATTGCACATGTCCGCTCATTAATTTTAACAAGTTAGTCTAGGTCCGTCCATTTTTTCAAGAATGGTAATCCAAGCTCGTTTTTTCTAGCGGGCCGGACATGACGGTTCTAACGGATCATCCCGTCCGTGAACAACCTATATTGTATTTTAGGTTGATGTGGTCGACCGATTCAATATAGATATTGAATTTCTAGATCCAATCTAATCAAGCTACAATTGAAGTTTCAGATAAACATTGAATTATAATGAACCGTTATTTATCTTCATCGTTTGATTCACAATCACTACCATCTGATTATAACCCCATATATTTAATTGTATATAGGTAATGCAAACAATCCCCCAAAACAGCCCCATAATAACGATCTATATCAACCTTGTACTTTTTCAAATGCATTTTCGGTGTGATATAAATTGACCTCATGTTTTTCAGCAAAAAAAATCAAAAATATGAATGCCATAATCAGATGGTAGATCTTTTTATTGGTATGTCTTACATTTTTGTACGATGGATGTGAAGTTTGGTACACCTAATATGGAGTTTCATACGTTCTCTGACTTTGAAACGTGTGATACTGAGATTAATAATCTTCATGTGAAGTTTGAAACGGTTGATATTGAGTTTGGTACGATTAATATGGAATGGTTGGAGCTACCTCATCACTTTAGAACGACTGGTATGGGACGATCGAAAGTATGTATTGTCCGTGTCCCGACTCACATGGAGTAAATGGAACTATCCTTTGGCTTTGGTTTGGCTCATATGGAACAAGTGGAAGTATGTACCAGGAGCTTGGCTTATACAGAGTGTGTGGAAATATCTTATGACTTGAGTTCGGTTGATTGTTTCCATCACCATAATCACAAACATACAATTTAAGGACCTGTGAAATTTCCGCACCAACAACTATAAAATTTCTCACATCCTTAGTGTCAAATAACTCGACAACCGCACTAGATAACATAGATTTATATGTTAATCTAAAACGAAATTGCAAATCTGATAATTTTACTTTTACTGCTAAATAACTAATGGAACCTGAGCATGTTAAGTGTATCAACAACAAAACGACAACCTTTCGAGTTTCTTATATATAAATTATAATCTACCACCTTGTTAACTAATCATCATAAACCTTTGCTAAAAACACATGCCATAACTTTCTCAATGTTTGTTGTCATTTCTTATTTAGAGATTTTATTTGGTTGAGAGTATTTGTTTGAGTGTTTGAAATGTTGGTTTGATCCATGTTATATAAGGACTAGAAGGGTACTCGTATAATGCAGCGAAATATATCTTCATTTCAATGTTTCGTTTTATTTTTTTTGTCTATATTGATATAATACGGTTTATGTGCTTTCGATAAAAATAATGTTTTTACTTTGGAATAAAAATAAATTTAAAAATATCATAAAAATTTGAAAAAGTATATCAATATTAATATCAAATTAACTATTTAAAAGTTCTAGTTTTTTTGTACAATTCTCTTAATTTAATTTTTTATTATAATTTAATTTAGGTCTAATATCAAAGTAATTTATTTTTAACTTAACAATATAATTTTTATAAAGATAATAATTCTGTTAGAACTCAATGATTATCTAATGATGTTTTAGATTTTTGATATTTAAAACGAGATATTTATCGTGTATTTGATTATGTTTATTTACAGTTATTTATACGAATTCAAAAATGAAGTTTTAATAAGTTGTACTTTTGCACAATTCACTTGTAGTTTTAAATTTTAAGTAATATATATTAATACACAATACTTTATGCATAAAAAATAGTTATTAAAAGTTTTTTTTGTCAAATGCTTTATAATATAGTATAGATAAAGGAAATTGATAAAAAAATTTCGATAAAAAACCAGGGTCCATAATAGGGTTTGAAAAATGCATGAGGAAGGAGGAAAAGTATGAGAGAGAGTCATGTTTTGAGACCGGGTGGTAGGTCACTTCGTGTCGGCCGATGCGTTTCTCCTCCCATGACATGAATCGGTTTCAACGACAGATACAGATCAAACATAGTCACTTCAGGTTGGTTTTTGGTCCATCAATCATCTTGACATGCGATTTCTCATTTCGTTTTGATAAAAGAAAAATGAGTGGTTGTTTTTAGAAAATGTATTTTCAACCTATTTTTGTAGTTTTATTTTTATAAAAAGCTGTTTGAGATAACAACCCTAACAAAACTAGCCCTATCACCTATACTACATTATAAACTAGATTTATCAAAAATTTTAAAAACAATTTTTAATGTACAAATTACTATACATTTATGTACAAAGTCTTAAAAGTCTTAAAAACAACTCATAATGCATTAAGCACTGCTACTCTATGCATTCGGGTTTAAAATCTTTTAATTTACAATTAAAATAACATATAGTACAAGTTATCAATGCACATTATTATTTTTTCTTTTAATGTTCTCAAGATACTTTTGACTCATGTCTCCACCCTCTCATACCTCTATGTTTTTTTCCCCATCCCCCAATGTGAGATTCAAACTGACATTCATCATGCGTTGTTAAAAGTTTTTCCATTCATCTCTCATTCAATTGCTTTAGAACTCTCGGTTTCGCTCTCTTGATTCCTTGCTCTTGGTGTAAATCGAATACATTTTTGGAGAAATTTAAATATGTTGAATTTTAAATATATTGAATTTAAAAATATCATACAATTTTTTTCATCGATAGACTGTAATTGAAACCATAACTCTTATTTATTCAAATCGTATTAATATGTAAATACCAAGTGTAACTTATATCATCGTTAAATCTTCTCTAATAAAACCAATGAAACTTCAAAATCGTTAAAATTTACGGCTTCCATTCCATTGTATGAATACACAACAACTAGTATATTTCAGACATAAATTTAGAATAAAATAAGAAACAAAAGAAAACCATGATCATCTGAGGTTCTGATTGGTGGAAATCAAAGATTGTTTCAAAGATTTTGATTGAAAATGGTGGTTGGTGGAATGAAGGGTGACAGTAACGGGCATCAAATGCTTATGGGATTCGCACTTTTTGCTGAATGCCATGATCTGCAGGGCTAAATAGATATTATTATAAAAAGCTAAACAGAAAAAGAAGGCATTCATCCATCCCCACGATCTCTTCTCTATTCTTTCACCACCAATAAACATAGAGAGAGAAAGTCAATAAAGGAATGTTGTAGCCACAGATGAATGAAGGTGAAGCGGTAACAGAAACAACCAAATTAGAGATACCTCTTCGTTTTCTTTCATAGGTTACCCGGTTTTCAAATCAATTTTCTATAGATGGTTGCTTACTGAAATCCTTCGATAGTACGATACTGTGTACTTTTTTTTTGGTGGGTATTGCGTCTTTTGTCAAATTGGGGTTTGAATAAGGGGTTTTCAGCACCGTTTCGGTGATTCTATGTTTCTTTCTTTTTGTGGGATCGAATCGATTTAAAACTGGTGTTAATGATATCAATGGAGGTCTTGATTTTTATTCTTTTGGGTGTGGTATGTATCTGAGATGAGAATCTAGGGTTTCAAAATGGGTATTTCTTTTCCTTTTTCGTTTTGGGTGTATAAAATTCTCCCAGTTTTGTAGCTCAACGCTACATAAGTTCAACCCTCTTTTACTAAATACTAGTCGAGCTTTTAATGGTTGCTTAGTGATATACAAATTGCAATAAAATATATCGCGTAATGGATACGGGGTTTCACCATCAACATACTTTCGCTCTGAATCAACAAGCTATATCTTTCCAATCTAGCGCAAGAGGCAGCAAATCTGAGATGATTATGATGGGGGACTTCCATGGGATGAATGGTACAGCTGGCATGCTTTTTTCAGGGAATTCTGGTACAGTAAACAGCAGTTCAGCATTTACACGAACCGGGACTTCTTGTGATTCTCTCGTTGTTGATTCTGTGCCGGAGTTGAAGCACCGAGGCAGCTTGGCTGTGGAGTGGTCTGTTGAAGAACAATATAAATTAGAGGAAGCACTTCCCCAGTATGTATATTGTTCCAAGTTTTTAAGTATGTTTGGTTTACTGTTTTTCTGATCTTATCCATTGGCTTTTTAGAAGGGACATTATCGTACTTAACTGTGAAACAATTGATTCATTTATCTGAAGTGCACATAGACAGTTGAGTAATATGGAGAGGTTATACATGTAGCTTCATCACATTTTATAGAATGTTTTCTGGTTTAAGGGTTGTCGTGGGGGTTCACCCTCACAATGAAATGTACAACATTTCTTTCCAACATTTTGGTGTAATTTGATTCATCTAAGTATCTTTCTCTTTTGAATAGACTGCATAACTGAAGCTGGTTCATGTATATACAGTTTTAGGAAAGAAGATGGCATCTTTTGTTATCATTCGACCAGTAAACTGCTTCAACATGTACACATATTTTTTCAAACATTATAACTGTATCTTCATAGTGTTTTCTCTAATATTGCTACATCTTTGATGTTTTAATTGAAAAGTTACTTATCTGTTCAGTGACATTAGTCTGCATTTGGTCTACTTTGTGATATTTTTCAGTACATTGTTGGACAATTCCAATGCAGGATCATTTTGTAGAAATGAATCAGTGGCATCAATTTCTTAGCCATATTCGTATTCATGATTTATATGCCCTTGTCCAATACATGTAGATACGCCAATGAACCTGGTGTCATAAGGTATGTCAAGATTGCTGCCACATTGCGTAATAAAACTGTCCGTGATGTTGCACTGAGGGTTAGATGGTTGGCGGTAAGCTTCTCACTCTTTTGTATGATATCTTGATTGCCTTCCGTTTATTAAAACACTATATTTCCAATTGCTGACCTCTTTTTAATTTTTAAATTGTTGCTTCAGACTTGCTCTAACATACTCATGTGAGTCTGGAACTTAATAATCAGACTAAACTTTGGCAGGCCATTTGCTAGGATTGTCAATAATTTTCTGTCAGGCCTTGTTAACTAGACACTCTGAATAGTTGGCGATTTATATACATTTATGTCCACATCTTCCACTTAACCGAGGCTAAATACACTTCTTATTACCTGATGAAGTGTTATGAGACATGCTATATGAACCAGTTTTGTAAAATGAACACATGGGTTTACATCAAGCTAACACTTTTTTATCATGACTGCAAAATCCTACTTGGCTTTGTATGCTAAGAGATTCATTATGAACATTATAAGCTTTCTTGCTCGAATGCTTACTAAGATGAGATATTTGGCAGAGAAAACGAAGGAAACACGAGGAACTGAACTTGGGAAAGAAGCTAAAAGATAAGAAGGTAAGGAAGGCTATGTAGTGACTTATTTGTTGTTTTTGCAATCAAAGTATATTCGAAACAACTACACTTGAAATTTCTTTATGCTATTTAAATTAATCAGATATGATAACCATGTCTAAATGTGCATATTGGGAACCTTCTATTTATCGTGCTTGATTAGAATAGTGTTGTAACCTAGGATACTCTGGTTTATCCTGCATGAATTTACACAAATCAGAAGCAAAATATTATTGGCAGGCAGGCCCACATCTATTAATCATCTTTATTTTCCGATGACACAGACAAAATTAAAAAAAAGTGCTTCTGCCTCAGAAGAGTTGACTTTTGTTAATTTTCTTGTCCCAGAAATGAGTTCTACTTCAGCAATTAACATAAACATACATATATATAAATAGATCACACTTCTAAATTTTACAGGAAGAGTTGTTTGCCAACTTCTTTGTAATCAATAATGAACTTGTGCTTGAAAAGTTGGTTTTAAATTCATTCTAGATTGTAAAGTGGACTCATTTGTTGGGATGGAAGGAATGGTGATTATACATAAAGCCAAAGCTTCTTGTACCTAATAGATGTAAATTTTATCAACAGATCTCGTAGGTGAGATTTTTCATCTCATACTCCCATCATGCTCTCAAGGTATGATCATATAGTATAGTTAACACCTCATCAAACATTTCTTAAAAGCATGGCTTTTGTATAGTTTGTTATACAGTAGCATTTTATAGGATAATGAGGGCTTTGATATGGTCAGGTACTCAGCTTGACTTACATGAGATGATTTTTGCAAGATCCCAAGATAATAATTAAGAACTTGCTTGTAAGAACTAATGTCTAATACTCCATTTACATTGTGAAGCACTCTCTTTCACTCTGTCTTAGCAATCAATGTATTGCTCGTACAATACTCAGTATTCTAAGTGTCATGTTTATTCAGGATAAATTGGTGGAATCAACCTCAAAGCCAAGTATACCATCAATTTCAACGTTTAATGTGGCTCCATTTTCAGTATTGATGAATAATCAAGTCCAGGGTGATGGTAATCATGCTGAAGGTTAGTGTCTTGTGTATATATAGAGAGCCATGGTTGTTTTTTTTTCATCTTGACAAGCTTGTGGTTCTGTTTAGGGCTCCCTCATCTTTTGTTTTTAATGTTTACCCATATTCTCCCTTTTGCTAATTTGGTTTTAAGAATAACAAACATTACTTGGAGGGGATGATATACTTGAATTGTAAAGCATCTTATGTGTGGATATGCTAAGGTCTAAGAAGCATATTCGAGGAGAAGAGTAGATCATATGCAACAAGGTGGATTTGCCAGAAAAAAATCTTAATCTTGAGTTCTTTTTTTGCAAAATAAGGTCTAATTGTAATTAAGAATACTTGTTTTGGAGACTTGGACATGGGGAAGGCCATGGGTGAGCATGAGAGCAGGAAAGCTTATAACTTTTGTCAAATTGAAGTGGAAAAGTAATTGCACTGAAATAAAAAATCCAAAATGTATCCCTTTTCTGGTAGTGGGTGAGGGTTGTATTAAAGATGATAGTTTAATTGGTGAGGCACATAGTTTAATGGGAAGAGTGCGACTATTACTCAAATATTTATTATGTCTTCAAAAAAGATGATAGAAGAATCTTGTAGACTAACCCAAATGTAATTTGTATTTTGTGTAATAATACCTTAAAGGCCAGTAAGTAAAACTTATCAAATCGTTAATTGGAGGTTATTTCACTCATAACATAGATACTTGACCCAAGAAAACTAATAAATACTTAACCTTGGTAACAAAACTAAATGTAAATTTTCTGAATCGTCCTATATTTCGAATCATTAATAATAAATTCCTATTTATATTACCTATGTAAACACCAACAAATCAAAAATAAACTTATTTTTTCAAACTAGTTGTGGTTTGCTAAAAGAAAAAGAAAATATAAAATTGTGAAACACAAAAGAAAAGAAAAAGAGGTGAACCTCTTAGGGTCCTGAACATGAATGGCATCATTCCACACACTCCCTTCAAGGCTAATTCCTACACTCCACTCTTGCACAATTAGACTTAAATAAGCACTTGTGGTCGTCTTTGAATCACTATTTCTACAATAGTTTTGTGCAAGTTATAAGATACTAAGTTGATGACAGTACACACAAGTCAACTGTCTCTACTTGCATGTAGTGATGGCCAAAAACCGGTCCCGGGCTGGTCCCAATCGGGCCTGCTCTTTCTTGTAACCGGCCGTAACCGGTCCTACCATAACCGGTCCCGGTCGGTCTCGGTCCCAAAAAACGATGAAAACATGGGCCTATAACCGGTCCTTACCGGTCCCGGTCGGTCCCAGGCGTGGCCGGGCCGGTTTGGCCATCACTACTTGCATGTATGCTAACTTATGCATTTTCGGACTTTTTTCCCATTTCCTTCCATAAAATGTCTCTTATTTGCCAGTTGCTAATACATCTCTTAGTTATAATAGAATGATTTTTTTTCTATTGAGCAACTTGAATACCCACAAATAGTATTTCATTCTCTCCTCCGCTTTGTTCAACTGATTGCTATGCATTAAAAAGGGAGATAAAACCAAAGGTAAAATAGGGTAAACTTGAATGTTGAATCGGGAATAAGGTGAAGTTTAGGGACATTGTTCTATATACTTTTTTCTTTCATGTGGAATAGCAAACACAAAGTATGCGCATTGTTTGGGGACATTGTTTGTGTTGGTAGCTAAGTCGAAGGTAGAGGTGAATGAGAGGTTGGAATAGTGGGGGGCGACATTGGAAACACAAGAGTAGTGCATTAGCCTTTCTATGACTGAATACATGCAGCACAATTTCAGCATGAGTGTTTTGACGAGGAGATAAAAGTCAACATTGGGGGCAAATGGTGCTCCAAATACACAGTTTCAAATATCTAGTCTCCAGGATCCATAAGGAAGGAGAGGTCGATGATAACATAAGACATCACATGAAGTCAGGGTAGCTAAAATGGATGGTTGCCACGGTGGGTGTTGTGTGACAAGAAAGTCCCACTAAAACTGAAGGGAAAGTTCTATAAAGTAGCTATCAAATGAGCTATGTTGTAAGGGTCAAAATGTTGGTAACCAAGAAGGACCATGAGAGTGTGGAAGTTGCAGAAATAAGGTTGCTTAGATGGACCTATGGTCGAACCATTTTGGACAGGATACCGATTACCGAACAAGGTTTTTCCAGGAGGACTTAGGAGTTGCGCCTATCATGGATAAATTGAGAGGGAAGATTGCAGTGGTTTGAACAGTTGGGAGGAGACAGATGGCGTCTCTGGTGAGCCAGGTAGAAAGTTTGATGATCAAGGAGGTGGACCATGGGAGGAGGGACAGGTCGCAGAGGTCGTGGGATGAGCAAGTGAGGATGGAGATGGTGACTTTATACATTTCCGAGATATGACCTTTGATAGGAATCTTGGAGCAGGCTAGGGTGTAGGGCTGGCAGATAGCACAAAGGGATGGAGGGAGTTGGAGAGGTTGGGTGGGATTTCAGGAGGGTTAGAGAGTTATCAGAAAGGTTACCAATATCCTGCGTTGGATAAGGAGTGTGTAGTTTCTTGTCTCTTTATGCTGCACAATACTTATTTCTTTTTTATATGATGCTTACTTTTATTTAGTCTTATGACTTCTTTTGAAAATTGTCGTTTCAATTTCAACTTGTTATCCCAAACCTTTTTGGCAAGCTTTTTGATCTTCACAGGTCAAAACTTATTTGCACACCCCTTTTTCAAGCTAGGGGTCTTCACGGAAACAACCACTCTACTCTCTGCGATAGAGTTCAGGACTGCGTATATCCCGCCCACCTCAGACCACACCAGTGGGATATCCTTAGCTAGTTTGGTCTGGAATAGCTAGATATGATGCACCGACTCTCCAAGGCCTTCTGATGTTTTCTATTGGGATTCATCACTTCACAGTTTCTTTGAGTTCACTTCTAGTCTAGCCCAACTAGGTCGGCATAAAAGGCTTGCTGAATCTCATTTACTACTCTTAACCGACTACTATGCATGAAATTTCTAAAAGAAGTGAAGGGCAGGGAAGTCCTAAATGGAGTTGCAACTTATAAATCTAAGGTAATAGGCAGTATCTTACTTTTGCCATGCCCCCTAGAGTCAGCTATCAATAATTTTCCAAGTAAAGATTATGCAGTTTTTGGTTCCAGGAGAAGGTATTCTGTGGAATACTTGTGAACTGCTGATCAAGTGTTATGTTAAATATGGTTTTGGTAATTGTCAGTATTTGCTTCTCTGAAGCTTGAAGATGTTCATTACAATAAATGATCAGCCTATCTATAATAAAAATTAAATTATAACACTTTTCTCTTGCAGAGTTGAAAATCATCTTTGCTAATGCTTAGTAGTAATCTGATTAGCCTGAGATTTGTTTTACATCTTCAAGAAGGAAATAGGGGTAGTTTGGTCTTTTCTGGTTGGAGAGCAGTTAGATGTCGGTGTAGGAAGATTGAGTCGGTGATAGAAAGTATAAATAGAAGTGTTGTTGGTAGTTGCAGGTCATATTAGTGGAGAGTTCCAACCTCTCGAATGTTGGAGATTTTGGTCTGCAATCATTCAGTTACTATTATTTGGTGATTGAATAATAAAATTCCATATGGATTGTCATCATTTTGATAGTTTTATTGACACAATGACTTTTATTCTACACGTTGAAGCAGCATTACAAGGCTCAATAAGGCATCTATTGGAACAAAACAGCCAAGTTCTTGGTCAGATCTCAACTAATATTTGTGCACTAAAGGTGAGTGATTCATCCAAAATTTTCTATTTTTTTTTTTTTGTAAATATAACATGCATTTACAATGACAGCAGAGCTCAGCCAGTGTTTATATAGATATGCGTGTATGTGTGCATGGTTTTTAAGTATATAATACTTGTATGCCGCAAATGTCCCTCAGGTTATGTGCATGTTATATGTGTGTATATAACATACATGTGTGTCCGTATACATATATACATACAGGCTGCAGTTTTGAATTTTGTATGGTTGAGTATCTTTTTCTAGAAGCTGACCCTTTTACAACATCAATCAACAGCTGCAGGACAATATCGACCTCTTTATTCATATGAAGAACAATATTACCACCATCTTAAACGAGTACGTGAGATATCTATAAACTCGTTATTTCTTCTGTATCTATTAATGTTATTTCCGTTAATAAATAATGATTTCACTTCAATATATGCAGCATGAGATACATGCCTGGGCCACCACTGACTGTATCACTAAATGTAGATCTTGCAAATAGCATTCTGCACACAAAAAGTCAGGTAACTCAGCTTTTCAAGGTGACACTTTTGCATTACTTGGTTTTTTGGGAGTAATCTACGAGATCCTGATGACAGAATGGTGATGGTTGCTTTCTGTTTATAACTGACAGACAATGATGTTCACTTCATCAAGCGGGATGCACATGAAGCAAGAACCGAGGTGTTGGTGAGGGATGGTTTCTTCGGTTTTTAGATTTTCTCCAAGTACAGAACTAAATCCGCTATAAAGTCAACGGGCAGAGCAAGTTTTCACCCTCTTGACTTTACTCATCCAAATTCTTGGTCCTCAAGAAAGATAGTTTATAGGGATTCTTGGGGATTTTTGTGTGAAACTGTATTGATTGCCTATTTGGATCCAAACCCAGAATAAGAGAAGTTGTAGAACTTCATTTTCAGAAAGCTAAGAATGTTTAGCTTGCTGCTTACCTCAACCTCAAGGGTAGCCATTAGAGAATGAAGTTTCTATTGTATTTGAGTGATGATTGGCAAGGGGAATTAGCCATCTTCATTGGTGTTCTTGTTCCTTTTACGCATTTTCTCCCCCTCGAGAGTCTGGTATGTTTGATGTTTGTGAGCTTTAGTACCTATAACTGTAATTTTTTGGGGTTATGAAACTAATGGCTAAAAACGACGATATAGACTACTACTTATTGTTTTTTTCTATTTTTTTGAGCAATTTTGCCCCCATTGTTTAATAGAATACTGGGATCTTGATGAATTGTTTCTCTGGATATAATGAACAACGTGCGTGGCATAGCTTCCAACACAATATGGGTGGGGGTGGGGGTGGGGGTGATAATCCTTGTGAGTAGGGTGCTCAAAAATCCGACAAACCTAACCCAACACTAAATAATTCAACTCGATGTTTAATCGAGTTATAAAATTGTCAAACCGTAGGTATTGAGTTGATATTGTGTTACTATTATTTGAACCCGATGAACCCGATATCTTTTTATTTATTGAATTTAATATGATTGTTGAATTTCTATTAACATGTACATTAGACAATTACACTATCATGTATGTTTTTCATATACACATATTTATATAACTCATTCGTATATATATTCAGTATTTGTGAACATATATATATATGTAAATTAAGAAAATTAACTGAATGTGATATATGTAAGAAGTATGGATAAGTTGTATCAAATAGGCATGGCAACGGGGCAGGGATGGGGTGAGTTTTGTAATCCCCGGCCTCGGCCCCGGTTTGTGTCTACCGGGGATCCCCGGCCCCGGTCCCGGGACCCGTTTTAGCGGGAACCCCCGTCCCCGTTCAGGTCGGGTGAACCGGGTTCTCCACCGGGTCAGGCAAATCACCATCCCTAGTATCAAATGGTTAATGATGAAAAAGAAATTATGAGTAGAGAAATAACATATTATAGGTTAGAAGAATATTTTAATGTACCAAAGTATCAACCCGACTAATCTGACTAACACGTACGGGTTGGGTATGGTTGGGTTGCACTTTGGTTCGGGTTGGGTTGGATTAAGATTTTTCAAACCGTAAGCATTGAGTTGGATTGTTCAAATATCCACAACTCGATCAACCCAACACATGAGTACCCCTCCTTGTGAGCTATTGACTTTGCTAACATTTCTAGAAAGTTAAGAAAAAAATGTGTTTCTATAATATATGTGTTTTGATAACGTAATCTTGGATATATTCTTAAATTTCTTTTTTTAAAATTGAGAATTATAAATTAAAATTCTTAAAAAAATTATATTTAATTCTAGTTTGTTCTTAGAGATTTTATTATTGAATATTAAATATGTATTTATTTATTCAAAATAACTCAATGATCTTTATGGTTTCAAATAATAAAAAACTATTTATGGAATTAGGGGATGTTTATCAAACATTTATCTGATAAATGTTTACTGGTAAAATTTAACAATATCATTTATTTACCGGGTAGGATTTTAGTCAACAAAAACGGTATCATAAGCAATAATTTACGCTATAAATACTAACCATGGTAAGAATCGATCGCTTTTACTTACTGGATAATACTTTTGACCCTTGCATCGTTCTTATAATATAAAATTATCGATTCTTACGATATTCATCCATAAAATATGGTGATTTGGTAAATACTTACCTCAGCGAATGTTTTAATAAACTACCCATGAGTGTTTATCGTACTAGTGCTTAACGAACCGACCGTTAGTCGGATGGTGCAAGTGTTGACTAGTCAAACATGGGTGTTGGCTTCGAAACGGTGCCGTTTCTCACTACTTTTATCTTACTCCCCAAGACTTCTCCGCTATTTCCCTACTCATCGGGTTTCTTCTCGCAGATCTTCTGCGAATCGCCCACTAGATTAATCGATCCTCAGCTCGTAAGTTCATCACTTTTACGTAAGATATGCATTTATAATTTTTGTATATTAATTTTTTTAAATCAGCGGCAAATCTTTTGATATTGGGGGTTTCGTATATTTCTTGTGGAAGTTTTGTTTATTTTCTCGATCAAAGTGAATATTTTGAAATACAGGTACTTGAAGATGCCTAGCGAAACAATGGATGTTCCAAAAACCGGATTCAGTTTCGACTTGTGTAGGAGAAACGATATGCTGGCGAAGAAAGGATTAAAATCTCCATCTTATTTGAAGACGGGAACGACCATCGTTGGTTTAATTTTTGAGGTATGCTGGTGTTTCTATTATGTTTGTTTAATTGTTTGCTTCTTCCTCAAAAATTGTAGAATCAATGTCAAAATTTGAGTTGCAAATCAGCCCATTTGATCCCAATATTTTAAGGTATAGCTTTATTATGTATTTATGTTTGTTTATTTGTTTGCTTCCGTCCTAATTTGGGCGGATACTCTGAAGACATAATGCAGAGTTTGGCTCTTCATATATTCACTTCAGTCTAAAGCCAAGCTTTTCTACTATAATGTATGAAGTAGAGTATAGTAGAGGTGACCATAAATAGAAATGGATACAAACCACATATATTATTTTGTAAAACCTAGAGTACATCACCAAGCTAGAGCAATATAGAATAACACACACACCAATAGAGAAACTCATACGGGATATACTATCCAAACAAACAAAAAAGTAAGAAAAAACAAGAATTTGCTTATAACAAAAGACACAAAGATGGGCCGGTGGGGCTTGGTCATGTGGTGTGGCAAGTACTTGTTCATGATAACATAGGTGTCCTTAGTTCAAATTGCACACTTGTGAATTGTGGAATTCTCCAGTGAATTATCAGAGGTGCATAGACTGGCTGGCCACAAAACTTCACTCCCTTGTGTTTGGTTTTTTGTGTCTTTAAATGACATAATCTGGAACCTGCATTCAACGTTAAGGCTCCTTATTGGGAAATCCCCAGACATTCCAAGTCATTGCTGCCCTCATACATTATATGCTAATTTTAACCTCTCTCTTTTTAACCTATCTCACTGCATAATCAATTCCTATGTAGTGTTTGATGTTACACACATAATTCCACCTAACAAAAAGGAATACTGTAAGGCCCATAATCATCTTTGATCATGACAAACTACTTGGTACATTACATTTGCACTTGTTTCTAGATTGAGTTTGATGGCAGTCATAGCATAATCATCTCATCTCACAAAACAAAACCCATGGACTGAAAAAGAGAACTGTTTATGGAACAGAACATCATTTAATAGTTAAGAGCTTTCTCCTCTTGTGTGGTGGTGAGTATCCATAGTGTATGTACAGAAACTGATGGGAAGTGTCTGAGATTATAGTATTGAAGATGTAAAGCTAGGTTGAGTTGAGACTTGAATTTCTTTTTGGGATTTAAGGAGTGATATCAGTGACGCATTAGCTTGCATATGTGATTGCAACACTTCATTGTCTGATAAGTGTGTTGACAAGGAAATTCCTTATTGCATTTACCATGAATGGGAGGAGAAAACTATATGTTAAGTGAATAGAAGTGCAGACCTACACTATTGAAGTTTATTCTGTTTGCCAGATAACTCATTAGAGATTTTCTTGTTTGTTTGTACCATTAAGTTAATTAATCCAATAAATTTCAGCAGTGATCTAATCACCATGATTTCAATAGTTGTTCCTGAGATGGAATTACCTCTGATTCTCTACATTCTTCTTCAGAATGGTGTCATTCTTGGAGCTGATACTAGAGCAACAGAAGGCCCCATTGTTGCTGACAAAAATTGTGAAAAGATTCATTACATGGCACCAAACATATATTGCTGTGGAGCTGGAACTGCTGCTGATACAGAGGCTGTTACAGGTACTCTTCTGGTCGTATATGTGTTGCACCATGTCACTCTTTTAGAGGATTTAATTCAATGTATATGTAATTGAAAATATCTCTTTGCGGTAGACAACATCAGCTCTCAGCTGAAGCTGCACAGATATCATACTGGTCGTGAATCAAGGGTTGTAACAGCTCTTACACTATTGAAGTCCCATCTTTTTCGGTGAGCCTACTTGTATGTTGGTTTCTGGGGGAATGGTAGCATTCTTTCTATTATTTAGTGCCTGATTTTTCTTTTGCCGATCTAGCTACCAAGGTCACGTGTCTGCTGCTTTGGTGCTTGGTGGGGTTGATGTGACAGGCCCACATCTGCATACAGTGAGTAAATCTATCTTCCATTCATATGAAAATATCCTAGTGGGCCTATTAGCTTGTCAAAGAGTGTTCTAAATCATGATTGATTCTCAGATCTACCCTCATGGATCAACTGACACACTCCCATATGCCACAATGGGTTCTGGGTCTCTTGCTGCGATGGCCATTTTTGAATCAGAGTATCGTGAAGGGCTTACTGTAAGTTCTCACAGCTATATTATTCTACCCTTTACCTATAAAATTGATTCACTTAGCCTTGTTCCACATGTGTAAGTTCAACCATTCTTTTTTCTTCAATGATTCATCATCTCAACATGTTCATTGTGCTCCTAATATCAGTAATTTAAAATACGAGATCTTTGCCATAAAAGGGTCTACATTTTGACGTTTGATGAGGTAATCCATAAAAATAAAAAAATTTCTTTATCGGATTTGGATTTGAAGAACTAGATTTTAATCTTCAACAAGAAAATGAACTTGTTTTTCTGGGACACAGGGGGTATGTCATATGTGCTAATTATTAGTGACCATTTAACTTATTTACAGAGGGATGAAGGAGTGAACCTGGTAACCAAGGCCATATGCTCTGGCATATTTAATGACCTAGGAAGTGGAAGCAATGTAGATGTCTGCGTGATAGAAAAGGTTTGTTTTATCCTGTTTTTCTCTTTGGATTGCAGATTATGACGTTCAAATTATATATTTTATTTTCCTGATAACCTTTGGCATCTGATGCACTTTATGTGAATACCGCTTTATGTGCAGGGTAAGAAAGAATACCTGCGGAATCACCTGACTCCAAATCCCCGCACTTACATCAGTTCAAGAGGCTATACATTTTCCAAGAAGGCTGGTTAGTAATCCCATAGACTTTAAATTTAGGGATTAATCTATTATGTTGACTTGGAAGACTATACTGTGGCAGTTTTCTTCTGTCATACACTTGCTTCTAAATGGTATTAGTGAGCTCAATTGCTCCGAGCGTGTAGTTAACCATGTTATTGTTTTATCTAACTTCTCTCCAGTAGAATCCCATCATGTCCAACTCTTGGTAGCCACCATATGTAAATTCTATATTTTCCCGCTCTGTCCCTCTGTCTTCTGCATATATAATTGTGAATTGTTGTTAGAGATTTGGGTTTTTATGTAAAAAGACAAGATTTTGACCAACTTCTTTTATCGGAACTGTAATTGCTCTAGGTTTCTTTCCCATATATCTATACTCTTATCAGTCCTACATTTATCTATACGGATAAAACACCATATATAAACATAATTACATAACAGCTTTTCCATTGGTTACATGACCGTTCCTTGTATCAATACCAGTGCCAGTTGGCACTTGAAAAAAGAAAATGTAGTCTATTTAATCACCCCACACACATAAACTGGAAGCAAAATTGAAAGTAAACCTCCCTTTTGTTACAATATTTGTTGGTGATCATCTTGGTCTTCTGCAGAGGTCTTGCTCACGAAGATTACACCACTGAAAGAGCTGGTTGAAGTAGTTGAAGTTGGTGGAGATGCCATGGAAGAATGAGGTGCAATCAAAAGAACCTTCCCAGCAAATTATGTGGTGCTTTTATGTAAGATGAGTTGCTTCCAAGGTCAAATTATTATTATCAAAAGATACAATTTGTATGCAGTTGATTCATGTTTATATAATATTTTGAAGTTTCTCACTTATGGGAAATTTAACAGCCTCTTGCTCAACTAGTTGTAATTTCCACATTTGGTCCAAATTTAAATGGGTAAATTCAATCAGTCATCAGAATCGACTCGATATGGCCTCAGGTTGCTCAATTTCAGCTCTGCAGTTCCGTTTGTTGGTGGTTAAACGGAAACCCTACTTTAATGGTGATGCAAAGTTTTTGGCAATATTAGCAGTTTGCTGGTGATGCAAATGCACCAATAAACTCGGTAAGCATCATTGATGGATGCATCACCATTCGTTCGATTCTTGTATATCTGGCTCGAGAGGCTTATGGCGAAGAACGTGCATTACCCAGAAACCCTACTTGAATATACTAAAAACAGATCTAAGTGTGCAAGTACAAAAGAAAAGGTCCAGTTATTTGGTTCAGTTTTGTCAGTTCAAATGTTGCAGACTCTTTCTTATAAACAATTAAATGAACTTGTAATCATAAAAAACGTAACACCATCTATAAAAAATAATCCAACTTGGCAATTGTTTGCCAGCTTGGCGAGGAGTCTGAGTTGGCAATTGATGGTGGGGCCATCCTTATCCACGTGGGAAGTAAAAGGTGGTCTGGTCCATTCCAGACAACTCTCAACTCATTCCAACACATCCATCACATGGTTAATTGCAATTAAACCCCTTACACTTTCCATCACTTTTCATTTACCACCTTTTCATGCTTTATGCTACAAATCTAAACATCAAAAACAAAATATCAGTAACATCAATTATAAGATTTAGGTGCTGTTTTGTTTAAAAAAAAAAAGCACTTAATTGCCTCTTATGTCTGAATCGGTCATACATTGAGGGATTAAGTGCGTTTGTTTTTTTTTTTTTTTTAATTAAGTGCTTAAAACATCTGATTTCATCTGAATTATTTAGAGGTAAAATGCAGTCTGAAAACCTCTTAATCGCGTCGCCTCAAGCTCTCGCCTACCCTCCGCCATGTTCCTCTCCCTCTCCTCCCCGCTCCCCTCCTCCACCACCTCCATTTCTCTCCCTAAACCCCACCTCCACCCGCCACCACTCCGGCACCACCTCCCACCCTTTCTCCACTCCGGTGTCGGTATCGTCGATCGATTACCGTCTCCGGTTCCTAAAGCATCGGATGCACTGCCTCCTCCTTCATCTACCTCCTAGGGTTTTTCGGCATCGATTTCGTTCAATCCTTCGGAATCGAAGCTTGGGGACTGCCTTAGGGCTGCTTCGATTCGACGGCAGGCGTTGGAGAGGACGACGGGGAGGTCGTTGTTAGGGTTGCCATTGGAAGGATTCGATTACGAGTCAATTTTAGGGCAGTGTTGCGAGATGCCTAATGTTTTTCCATCTCCATCTTCAGAAATCCAAACCATTTATGGGTATTTAAACCAACCAAGCGTAAACAGGGGCTTTCAGTTCCTTAGCAGCTAGGGTTCTTCAATCTTCCCTTTTCCTTCATTGGAAATGGAAAAACATCAGGCATTGGAAACGATCATAATCAAGTTCATGATGTTAACAGTGATTCCACTTCTGATTTCCATTGTGAGTTTGGATCGTTTGAACACCAATTTCGTTTAAATGATTGGATATTTCAGTTAAATTTAATTGAAATGAATTGATTCAAATTTCAGACGTAAAAACAAACAGTCTGACTGATTCAGATTTCAGACTTCAGCACCACCTCTTAAAATTCATAAGTGAATTCAGACTTCAGACTTCAGCACCTCTTAAAAAACAAACGTCACCTTAATTACTAGTTGTATCAGAGCATCTACAACAGACATGCTAAAATAAAAAAAATTGGAAACTTAGAAAATCTTTTTTACTTCAACAACATAGCTGTAAGGTATAATAAATATATTAAGTGTTTACAAGAAGGAAATAATATTTTTTTTAAATATAATAATATTTTAATAATATAATTAATGTTATAATCTGTAAAATTATTTTGATGATATTTTAAAAATGACATTTTTGTGAAGTAGGAGAAGTGGAGGACTGAATCTGTGTCGATCTTAAAGAAGAGGGTTTAATCGAGAAATTGGTGCAAAGATGCAGCTTCCAAAATCAAATATTCTCCCCCCTCTCCTCCGTTTCATGTTTGCCGGCTTTCCAAAATCCCAAATCCCCCTTCTCCTTCTTTGATTACAAAGAGATAATAAATTCGAAAAGAACCCCAGATTTTTCTTTGGATTCATCGTATACTTCAGAAGGGAGAATAATAAATTGGTCCCGTTTAAAAGCGCTTTTTCGTTCTAGAAAGTTTTCGCCGGCCGGTGGTCCATCCGTCGCCGAACCGTATATCTGGCAATGGGTAGGGCGTTACTGGGCTGGTATGATGATGCAGTGGTGATTTACGCCCTCAAGGACGCGTATAGTTGGTGGGATGAATTCAACCATTCCCATGTTTGGCAGGATTGGATTTTTCACGTCCTTGCCGCTCTCTACGGCATCGTTACCCTTGTCGCACTGGTGAGTTTGCAATTAGTTATATTCTGATGAGTTATTGCGTTTTCTTTTGCTGTGGGACTTTGATTTGGATGATCTGTGTTCTCTTTATGGGTTTCTGTTTGAAAAGAACTACAATTTTTGGGCGTTTAGTTGATGTTATACTATATATTATTTGAATATCTTAGCTATGTGCGGCTGTTTCCAATAAATTGGGGTATTAAGAAGTGAAATATTGGATTTGCATTTCTTTATGTTGTTGTGGAACAAAAGAAACATTCAAATTTGAATGCTTAAGAGCTACTCCAACCCTAATACCAAAACTGTTTGCAAATTTGTGGGAAAATGGACTCCAAAAATCGCTTCAAATCCAAGCGTTCTGCACTTGTGCCGTCTGAAACAGGAGGCCCGCATATTTGCCGATTCTCTCCCATCTCCAGCAAATGCAGTTCTCTTTGCCGGCCTGTTGGAGTTTCGAGACTGGCTAAAATCGCTATTTTGACGAACAATTGGAGTTTCGCTAAGATGTCAAAGAAGTTGCTATCCAACTCAAAATCGAACTACACCAAATCTTATAAAAGTACAACAAATAGAATATGTTGGAGTTTCTGAGACTGGCAAAAAAACCTATTTTGACGTACAATTGGAGTTGCTCTAAGATGTCAAACAAGCTGCTTTTCAACTCGAAATTGATATGAATCTGGAAAAAAATGTTGATAACTACACCAAATCTTATAAAAGTACAACAAATAGAATATGTTGGTGTTAGGTTTCCAATTTTGTGTTTTTGAAGTACTAGTTTTTGCACCAAAGATCAATCTAATATCTATTAGGACCAGTGGCCTTTGGTCCAACTATATCTTACCAAGTCTGAAGTTGTGGGTTCAAGACACAATGCTAAGATCTTGTGGTGCTTATGTGTCTTTGTTTATCGTTGCCTTCTCAATGAAAGTACAAGTTAGGCATAAGTCTCATAATAAGGCTTGCAATGTGCTATTGTCCCTTTTTTTGTAATTAATAATCATGCATCCAACTATTGCAGGTACAATTAATTAGGATACAACTAAGAGTGCCAGAGTATGGTTGGACCACCCAGAAGGTCTTCCATTTCCTCAATGTCTTGGTTAATGGGGGTCTGTATATTTTGTTATATATTTCTTTTGAAAAGTATAGTTTATAAACCTATCTGCATCTTGTAATTTCTAATCGCAAATATGTTACTGCTGCAGTTAGATGTGTAATCTTTGTATTCCATCGTGATGTCCAACATTTAAGACCAGAGGTTAGGGACATTCTTTAGCTCATCATTTCTATATGGCTGTTTTCTTGTTTGTGGCAAATATTGAGCCTTTAAGTTGTATGTTTTCTGTTGCAAGATTGTCCAACATGTGTTGCTTGATGTGCCAAGTCTTGCATTTTTCACTACCTATGCTCTCCTAGTTTTGTTCTGGGCAGAAATTTACTACCAGGTTCTTTATCTCTTCTACTTTGTGTTCTTATAGTTGCTTTTGGTGTAGTTGTGCTGATCGAAAATGCTAGTTAGTTCACTTTTTGATGCTCTACACGTTTGACAGGCAAGGGGAGTCTCAACTGATGGTATCCGGCCAACATTCTTTGCAATTAATGGAATCATTTATGCAATTCAGGTGAAATTCTTGTTCATGTTTTGAAAGTTGAAAAAGAGTTGAAGTTATTACTTACATGCAACTTAGCTGAGTACCCTTTTGTTCTAAAGGAATTTTTTATCCTCAGAATTTGGTACTTCACAGTTCAAAAAGCTTTCTTCCTGTGTTTGCTATGAATTACAGACAAGTCATCCCTAGTAGCAAATTTGACTAAACCAATGGGATGGTTATTTTGCATCCCTTAATAATGTTTCTCAGTTAGATGTAAATAAAGATAAATATCTAACATTTTTGGATGCAAGATATTTTTTCTACTTTTACCTGATGTCTTCTTGGCTTTCTTTCCACCTTTAACCAATTGACATCCTCACTAGAGTTTGTCAGGAGGTTTAGACCACTTATGGAAATCTGGGATATGATACAAATTACAAAGTCAAGAAAAGAGTCAACGGTGTCAAGTAAAAGTTAGGACCACGGAACTCAAAATGTTTGTATGGAGAATCTTCTCCCTTTGAGTCCATTTTCTATACACTGTCAGTGTAAATAATTTCACATGTATAGCTCTTGGATCATGAGAAGTGTTCCATTACGTACTAGGGTTCATATCCTGTGAGTAGGTATTTACAGGAATTATGGGCCATTTGTCATCATTCAAGAACCACTGGTGTAGAAGTATTTTTTATTTTGACAGTGATCATCTTCCATGTTTTTACAAGAAATATGAAATAGTAAACCTGTTCAATGGCTTCTTAACAGATAGTTTTGTGGATTATAATTTGGTGGAAGCCTATCCCTCTTTTGGTGATCCTCTCCAAGATCTTCTTTGCAGGTCTTTTAGCTTTATAATCTATTTGAGTAATTCTATTTTTGAATTTTCTATCATTGGAGTCACCTCACATATTCTGTTTGCCAGGGGTGTCCTTGTTTGCAGCCATGGGTTTTCTTCTTTACGGAGGAAGGTACATTGAACATTTTTGTTACTTTTTCAGTTTTTTCTGATAGTTGTATACACACATATGTCATCACTTGGGCGTCAATGGGTTCCCCGAAGATCTTATGAGGGTGTCTTTTGATCTTGTACTATAAGAAGATGTATTTTAATAACCTAGCAGCTAAGAATTACTTATAACGACACTTCCTTTGGGTAATGATGGGATTTAGTTGGTACGAATTCTAAATGCAACCTTTGTATAGTAGGCTGGTATTCGTTTTCACTATTTTGAATTCCTATTAGACTCCAACTACTGAAGTGTCAGATGCCATAAGGCTTTCATTGTTATGTTTGTTTCTTGTTGCACAATAAAGCCACTGTTAGGCTCTACAACTTTTGTGGCACTTTGGTACGACATATACAATATGTCTTAAATAAATGTCTTGAGTTGGTTTATCAAATCACTAGAAAGCTATCCAATCGGAGATTTTATTCAAATGAGGGACACAAAATGAGCAAAATATTCAATGTGACTGTACATGAACCATAGATTTCAGTTATCTTTCAACTGTTCACATTAATGGTCATTCTTTCCAAAAAATGGTTAAACTTGTTCTGTCTTTTTGTCTTTATAAAGGAACTTCACATTACTATTATTACATAATTTTCCTAAGTTCTTGGACATAAAAGAACTTGGCGAAGCAAGAAATCCCTCTTGTTGCATGGTTAGCTCTAGAGCATAGATCTTTGATTTTATTGTTTAAGAGTAGTCACCTATTATGAAACACAACACAATGAAATGGACATAGTTGGAAGGGGAGGATGCATAAGAGTTGTGGAAAGAACGAATAAATAATTCATGTAGTTGGAAAAGTTTAAACGGAATACGACCTAGGTACACGGGGGTTTGAAGAGTAGGGCACTTCTATATTTGTAAAAAAGCCAATCATTTTTTTTGTCAATTTCCTCTAGACAAAATTGATGAGAAAGAACCCACAGATCTTGATCAATAATGGTAATAGTGCAATCAATGTTTAGTGTGGGAATGAAAACGTAGAGATAGAAAAAAAACAAACACGATGATTCTTCTTGAGATTTCGCCTACTAGTACTATGCAATTAACTCCTTTCGGTGTAGAGATGGAAAAAGACAAACATGATGAGAAAGGATCCCAAATTCTGCTACTGTAGCAAGCCATCGATAAAGTTATAAAGATGCTGAAGCTTTGTGTCACTTGTGATATGTTGCCTTCTAGGAGCAAGTCTCTTAACCTTTCTCTTTGTGCAGGCTCTTTTTAATGTTACAACGCTTCCCTGTTGAATCAAAAGGCCGGCGAAAGAAGTTGCAGGAGGTATGTTTCATCTATAATTTTTTTACAATTTTACCCCTAGTATCACTTGTGTAATTTTGAATATATATTCTTCATACAGGTCGGCTACGTGACATCAATCTGCTTTGCATGTTTTCTTGTAAGATGTATCATGGTGAGATCCCTTATATATATTATCATGAAATCACGATGATCAAATTATGAAATGGTTTTTTTTCATGTGAACACATATTTCAAACCTTTTGGTTTTGTATGATGGTATCTAATTTTCTTCATCTTTTTCTGTTTTGATGGGGATGTTAGATGTGCTTTAACGCATTCGATGAAGCTGCTAATCTAGATTTGATGGACCATCCTGTCTTGAACTTCATATACTACTTGGTAAGGAACCGAACCATTCTGGATGCCATTCTGTCCTTTTGGAACAGAAATATACTCCTTATATTACAACGGGTTCTCATCAAGATTTGCATATACTAACCATTTTTCCGTCACCAGTTGGTGGAGATCCTACCATCCTCTCTAGTTCTCTTTATTTTGAGGAAGTTGCCGCCTAAGCAAGTCATAACACCATATCACCCTATTCATTGACGACAAATTTATCCCTCGACAATGGAGCATACAATGGAGCTGGCTTTTGATGTAATCTCAAAAGAAAAGAAAGTAAAAGAAGGCAAGCAAAATGGTGCGAGAGACTTGAAAAGGGGAACTCTGAATTGTGAAACATGTTGATTTGTATTTGTTGTTGTTTCTTAATGAAGTCATTTACCATCCAATTGAAAACAAATGGGGTTCAAACTTGATGTTCATAGAAAACAGGTTTCTTTTAAAGAGGATGTAGATTGCTTGCTTTTTATATAGAATGGGAAGGTTAATAACCTTTAAACTAAAAAGTCAATCTAGAACCACAAAAGTGGTGTCTGATTGGTTTGAACTTGGCTCCAAAAAACAAAAGTATCAGGAGGTTATAGGTTCAAATCAACTTAAAATAAGATATAAAAGCATAAAAAATGTACATGGCTTAAGAAAAATAAAATGGTTTTTCAAAATATCAAGTATAGACTTTTCTTTTTTAATAATGTATCAACCAGATCTTCAATGTTTGGATTTTCAACAACTAAATACTAAATCAGTATAATATTTTAAGATCAAGATTCAAAACATATTATTTGATATATTACATATAATATATATTTGGGAGACACTTGGTATTATCATTATGTATGTGAAGTCAACCAAGTGGATTTCTCAAGTTTTTTTTGATAAAAAATGTAATAAAATATAAATTATATATAAAATTTGATTAATTATTAAAATATAAACAGACTAAGCCTGGTTGTGTTGAATTTTTTTCACGTCTAGATCCACCCATTATTTTTAACACAACACAGGTTCTGCATCTTTTTCGAAAATGGTTATTCAAGTACAACTTTTGAACAGATCAGACGAGCCTAGCAAACATAGTGTTCATAAGCAACTCCAGTTTAAATATGTTCTTTTAGAATTGTTGTTACCAAGTAAAAAATCAATATATTTTTTTTAATATGAAATATTTAGACTTAAAATACACATTTAAACATTATTTTATATTTCCAAATAGACACAAGTCATAGATACAAGTACGTATGCGTAGTTAGCCCGTTGGCTGCATCTCTCGTGTGCCTTCTGTTTGGCTTAAAGCCTTGAATTGAAGGTCTGTTTCTTGTTTCTCTCTTTGAGGCTATTGAGGGCTTCCTCCATCAATCCAATCCCCAAATCCCCCCTTTCTATTTGGCGGCTATCTTTCTTTCTTTCCCTACAAACCCCTTTATTTACAGATTCAATGTTACATCTATTCGTCTTTCTTAATCTTCAATAGGCCTGTTGAGCCGCCTCACAAACCCTAGATCCAGCCATCGATATTCTTCAGGGTTTCCTTCATTAACCATGGTTGGTGGTGCTACTCATCAACAACCACAGCCGTCTCAATTGCCTCCTCCATCATCGTTGTCCTCAATCGCTCCTGCACCCACGACGGAAGAAGAGGAGTTCTTGAAAAGGAACACCGATTGTGTTTACTTTCTTGCATCTCCCCTGACCTGCAAAAAGGTACTCTTTTTTACGTAATATTCGCTCTACAAATTGTGGGGTTTTCTTGTTTCTTTGTAATGCATCGGATCTTTGATATCTTTTTTTTCCCCTTTTCTTGTAAGGATCTTGGGACTAATATAGGTTGTTCTTGTTTCATTGCATCTATTTTAAAGACTGTCTGATGGTACCATCTTTATAGAAGTTGTGATGACATGAATTGTGATTTGTATGGTTTATGATTTCCAAAATCAGAGTCCACTTTTGATTTCTATTATTTAATCGACTACTTTATACTCAAAATTGACACAAATGTTGATAGATTATAGCTCCCAAATGCTGTGATTGTAATAGCTTATATGATCTTTCAAATGCACCAATCTGTTCGTGTGAATTTTAATGTCAAACACTCTTTTTCTTGATGGAGGGAGTATGCAATTTATGGTACATGATGGGGTTTCATCTTTGATTGCAAAAGAAGGAAAACTTGAATTAGGATTTCACTTGGTTTTTGTGTTTTTTGTTTCTTGGTGGAGAAAGACAACCCTTTATATCCAGACTTTCATCACTTTATACCTTTCGCTTTTATGATTGCCTTACGAGTTAATGATTACGACATAGGAGCACTAAAGCTTCAAAGCATAATGGCGAAGGAATTTAATGAACACGCTTGCTACCGTATTTGAGCAGCATGTGGCAATTACATCTTGACCTATTTTGTTGTTTGTCTTTATATTTTCTTGGTTGCTTTTGTAGTAACATTTTTCTTGTTTTTAATCTGCAATTGAATTGTAAGAATAGGTTGCATACAAGCTTAATCTTGCTAGATAACGGTATTCCTACTTTGTATGTTATTATCTTTAAACAATCAACAAATTGAAATGCTAATGGTTTTAAAGAAACTTGAACTTGCAACCTAAGGGTTATAGATAACCATTGGTACAATCAGGCCGAAGGCCAAGTTCAATTTGTTATCAAAAGATTTATTGGATATGAGCATTTAGTGTGTTATTGTATTATCTAAATCAATTCTGCTAACAGGGAAGTGAGTGCGAGTATCGTCATAGTGACATTGCACGGGTCAACCCCCGGGATTGCTGGTACTGGTTAAATGGAAATTGCTTAAACCCGAAATGTGGCTTCCGTCATCCTGTAAGTATTCTAATTAAGATCGTTTTTTGTTATAAAAATGGGTTTGTGCTTTAAGAAATTATCTTTGATTATTAAGGGTATATCTTGTGTTGTTTTCAGCCACTTGATGGATTGTTGGGGGCTGAAGTTCCTACTCCAGTGGGACCTTCTATACCTCAGGCTCCGGTAACGCCTACACCACCGTATGCTATGTCCAAACAAGGCGTTGCCTGCATTTTCTTCCAGAAAGGTTTTTGTTTGAAAGGACATTTATGCCCTTTCTTGCATGGGCCACCAAACATGGTCAATAACAAAGTGGTGCAACCTGTGCAGCCTAATTCGGTTACCAAGCCTACTAAGATGGCTTCTGCTGGTCCGGAGAAATCTATTCAAGAACCGAAGTTTATGCAACAGGAAAGTGTCCAAAATCCAGTTGAGTTTCTACCTCCGCAAGGGAAACAAGTGCCCAGAATGGCAGCTGCTCCTGCTCCGGCAAGAAATGGTGGTGGTGGTGGTGGTGGTGGTGCTATGAAGAAGAATATAGCACCGCCTCCTGAGGAGCCTCCTAGGTACAGACCAGCCAGTGTTGTTCCACCTCCTGTCATGAATGAATTCCCACCCAGCAGGTCTAACCATGGTGTATACGAGACTCATTATGTTTCTGATAATGATGGTATTCTGAACGGGAAGGATGTTGACGAATATTCAAGGGAGCCTACCCCTGGATTTGACGTTCTTGTGGACAATGAGCTTGGCGATTCTGAATACTATCCTAATGAAGAACAGTTTGGAAGGTCTAGAGGCCATGATTTTGATATTGGTCGTTCTACTGACTACGATGTCGATCGAGATATGTATAGCGAGCGGCGTGATTATGACCATTATAATGATGAAGGATATGCATGGGAGGATCACAGAACATCTTCCGAGAGGGTGTTGGGTGAAGCATCTAACTTTGGAAGGAAGCGTTTTCCAAGAGATGACAGCCCTGATCAGTTTGATAAATCAGATTTGCGCCATCGGATATCAAAGCAAAGAAGAGGTAATGTTGGCGGCGGTCTGCGATCAGTTGTCAGTAGTGAACATCTCCGTGACAGCCGTGCCGACAGGATGCCAAGGACTGACAGCCACCACCACCACTACCACCGCCGCCTGGATCCTGGTTCTCTTAGCAGCCGGCTTAGAGGAAGAATAAAGGTTCCGGGAAGGTCATCTTCACCTGGAAATGAAAACGAGTTGATGGTAGAAAGGGAAATTGACATGGGAAGGCAGCATCGGTCCAGATACTCACCTGGAAGGCCACCACACGTGTCATCCAACCATAGCAGGCTTAGAGACAGAATAAAGGGCAGATCCATTGAGGATTTCAACGACCATAAGGGTTCTCATGGGAGACGAGAGATGGCGTCTGACAATGGTAACGAGTTTTCAGGACCTAAAAGATTGTCGGAGCTGAAAAGCGGGGATGATCATCAATCTCTGGGGAAAAGGAAATACCCAAGAGTGGAGAGTCCACAATCGGATGGCAATCTATCATTTGAAGGGCCAAAGCCGCTAAGTGAGATTCTGAAGCGGAAAAGAGGAGGCTCTGTCGTTTCTTGTGTGAATAATGAAGATAATAACTCAAACGGAAATAATGAAAAGGGAAAAGACATCCCATTGGAGACCATGGTTCATAGTAACAAGGAGGAACCAGTGGAAAAGCAAAGCGGTTCAATGGATGGTGGGGATTCGTTGAATTGTGATGTGAACGAGCTAGAGAAGAAAGCAGGTTCTGCCGATGAGGATGCAATGCTGGATCAAGAACTTGAAGCTTATGATGGGAGAGATGGAGATTATGATTATGAGCAGATGGATGGGGATGGAGAAGAGTACAATTTGGAGGAGGGTGAGGAATACTTGGAGGAAGATGATGATGATGGTGGAAAGAAAGAGAAGGAAGCGTACTCTTAGAAGAGATTGAAAAAGGCTTGGTTTTGAATGTTTGTTGGTTCTTAGATTAAAATTCTGATTGTAGTTTGTACAAGTAGAGGGATGGATGATTCTAAAAACTCTTTGTTTTTAGTTTGTATCTAACTTTTGCATGGAGAAATTCCTCCTGCTTCAGCTCAATATTCTTCTATTCGGGTCACAAGTGGTTTTAACATTTTAATGATTGGTGATACAAATTCTAACAGGGTCTGGATCCTTTCAGAAGTCTCCTTGGTCTTTCTTGTATTGGCTCTTATACCACTTTGTCATGGAGTTGTTTCACAAGCCCTGATGTGGTTCTCAGGACTTGTATTAAGACAAGATGATCAAACAGCATCATTTGGATTATTCACAAATGAATGATTACCAACTATTTGAAASCAGTAAGAACTTTGAAGAATTCTATCTGGAAATCTTATAAGAAAGCTTCCAGCTACACAAAGTTCAAGTTTCCATCATACCATTAAATGCTCTAAAATATTTCAGTTTCTTGGGGAACCTTTATATGGGACATGACATTAAGTTCAAACACAGGTTGGATTTGTCGGGTTAAATCAATATATAAAACCAAAAAAACAAGAATATCAAATATTAGAGCATCTTCAACAAAGACATGGGGCATTTTCTTTTTTCACTATTCATTATGTCTCCAAAGAAGAAACTATAATTCATACTTATTGACTTAGGGTTGTTTGTTTACCTATTAATAGTTTCATTAAAATGCAGTCTCTGAATCGTTAAGAGGTGAATCTTGTTTGACAAAATAAAAGTCCGTCTCTTAATGGTTCTAAAACCCTCTGAAAGATTTTGTATCATGTCCCTCCTTTAACCAATCGGCACCCTGATTTCATTGTAAACAATAACCAAACAATGGTCTAGTTTGTTTGAATGTATCAGATTGTTCCAAAGTATTGCATGGTTTGCTGTTTGGGAGGAAGAATGTTGCTTCTTTGCTTCCAAAAAAGTTTGTTTGTAAAGAGAAAGAAGGGTCGTGATTTGAATTTGAATGCATATGTAGTTGCAGAAGCATTTATAACCGTAGAGGATCTGCTGTTGAGTGTCCAAGAATCCATGCTTCTTGTGCAGTGTTTGTGGACGTTTGGATATGCAGCAGGGAGGAGATAATGAACGTATTGTTCCCGAATAAGAAAACACATAGTGACTCGGATTCTAACGAAGTCGTCGAGGGTAAATGAATCGGATGGATGGGTAATTTAATAGTGGCTTTGTTATTTGTTGTTGTCATCAGTTGTTTGTAATAGATTTTGTTCAGTATATTGAATTACCAGATTATTTATAATCATATATGTAAAGATTTAGAGGAACAGACCAACTTGGGAATCCTGTTCTTTTCAGATCAAAAGGAATCAACCATCAATCCAATCTAACATTTCTTCCTACCTTTGTTGTTCTCTCTTCTCCTCCTCTTTATTTCCTTTCCCTTTCTTCGCTACCGCTTCTTGGGTGCTACCATCCTTGTGTTTTTCCGGCACCACTTCCAGAACCGATGAATGATCGCAACCACTGCCATCGACTTGTGTTTCTGCTCTCTGACACCAGCTTCTGCGGTTCCTCCCTCATTCCAAACTGGTTCAAGAAATCATCCATCATTGGCCTTCTACTCTGCAGACCCTCCACAACTTCTTGCAAACTCTTTGTTTCATCACTTGAGAAAACTAAATTCACTTCAAGTCCACTGAAAATTACAAGTCTGAGCACCCGATAAGTTTTTACTTTAACAAAACAGTAATAAACAACTTCAATGTTTACATCTAACCTTGTATCTAACCAACAAGAAAGCAGTTCCAGTTCATCAAATGCACAGCGCACTTCACGTAAAAGTGTTGCATATTCTCCAGCACACGTTTTCGCATTCGTAAGAGCAGTAGCCATAGCATGTACAATTTTATCCAACTCTTTCTGGTAAGAAAAATAAAACATCACAAGGCAATCAAAATTTACACTAATTAAGATGATAAATCTAACAAACACCAACTGTTACTACCTTGATCATAGCATAATCAGAAAACGAGCTCTGTATCTCTCCCTTCTGCCCATTTATAACTTCAGATATGTCATCAAGTATATTCCATTTCATTACCAGTTCTCCTTTGCATCCATCCGCAGGATCCACATTGAAGTTAGAATCTGGTAACGGGTTTGAAGATGGTGCCTCAGAGGTCGAGTCGCTATGTGTATTTTTCTTGGGGAACAGTACATTCATTATCTCATCCCTCGATCTCCGAAGGTCCACAAACATTGCACAAGGAGCATGGATTCTAGGACTTGCATTTTCCGTACTCACAATCAACAGAGGATCCTCTATTGTTAGAAATGCTTCTGCAACTACGTCAGCATTTAAATTGAGATAACGGCTCTTCCTTCTCTTTAAAAGACCACCCAGAAACTCCTTTGGAAGCAAATAAGCAATATTGTTCATCCCAAACAGCAAATCACGTAGTACTTCAGAACAATCTGATACTTTTAAGCAAATTAAACACAGTATCATAACCAGCTTCAACACCAAAACTGGATGGTAAAATCTAGGATTCATGTCTGATTTTTTAATCCATGCTACAGTTTCCTCTTGATTGTAAAGAATTTCTCGGACCATTACAACAAAAAAGCTTTCGTCAGGGGGATTGGAAAGAGCTGTGTTTGGAGCAAAGTGATGATGGGTAAACCATTCAACAAAAGAAGATTTTGTAGTGAAAATGATTCCCGAAGAGAAAGATGCCATGAAAAAAAGACGGTCCAAGAGATACACAAAACTGTGAGGTGATATGTACCCAGGAAGCCTCCAGTTGGCTCTATAAGTATCACGCAAAGCATTCTGGAGTGCAACATAAACATCTTCCCAGCAACCATTCTGAAACTTCTCAACAAATGATTTCCATGACAGATTCCATTCAACTCCCGTATGAATTATGTTGTAAAGTGCTGTAGGTTTTCTGGAACCAAGACATATCATCATCACCCTCCCAATCTCCAAGTAGGTAAGGTTACCCTTGATCATAAACCTTATAATCTCATTCAGCAAGTTGACTGAAACATCAGTCTCCTTTAGTGAAACAAAATCCGCAGAAATCGAACTCCTCCAGTCCAAGGGAAACACAAGATCAAAATAAATTGTCGAGAATCCCAGGTAATTTTCCAGGGTCTGCTTATTACTATATGTGAGATTGAGATAACTGCAGTCTAGAAGAAACTTGGAGACCTCAAAAATGTGAAGAAGACATGTACCTTTGCGAAATGCAGATCCCTGAGACATGATATGGAGTGCTCCAAGAGTTTCGAGTACCTTTATACCTACAGAAACCAATTCCAACTGCCAATAGAACCGAATAGCAAACACCAACTGCCTGCTATCAAGAGTTAGCCGCTTCCCATCCTGATGAAGACCCTTGTGACCACCATTTTTTATCCAATCAGCATCCTTGCTGACCAACAAGTAAACCACGTTTCCGTTTACACACTGCTTCCTCAAACCAAAATAATTTAAAATGAACTCAATATGACCCTCATACTCATTTGCTTCTCCACCGTCAAAAGTTTCAAGACTCTGAAAGATATCCACAACATGATCCTTCCACATGTTCCAATAGAAAACCAGAGTTTTAACAGAAACTCGATTCCAAAAGATCTTGTTCTCAGCATACTGAGTTAAATCACTGGGTAGTTCATCGTCCCAGTCATACTTTGAGGAGTTTAGTTTAAGATGAGCATCCAATATTTTCCGATTTGACACCATTTCTCCACGCAGGCTTTCGTGTCGTTGGGAAGCTTGCAAATGCTTCTTGAGCTCCGGTAAGCTACTCTGCTGATCAGAGAGTATTCTAAGCTCACGACATACAAAATCATAGAAATTGTCGGTGTCATTTTCTGAAAGTGACTTTGCTTTTTTACAAAGGTGTTCCTTCTGAGCAAACTGCTTCAACGGCCAACCTTTGCTTCCATTTCCCCATACCGAGCTAAAGAACACGTACCAAAGAATGAGCAATGTTGCATCTTTGTAGTGTCCAGCCTTCTCCAAAAGATCAGCCTCTTTTAGAACATCACCCCATGACCTAACAAGCTCAGCAGCCTCAACAAAACTACCTGATTCCTCTTCCAACAACAAAAGCTCATCAAGACGGCCAACGGACCTCAAGAAAGCACGCTTTGTTTGCATAGAACAAAAGGCTCTAACAAATTTCATCATGGATATGAGATCTTTCCGCTTGTGGTAATCAAGAGCACAACTCTCCAAGAAATCTTGCTTAATCTGTTCAAGTTCTTTATTTTGAACATTTGCATGTTCTTTCCAGTGTTCAATATACTGCATGCCTTTACCATAAAGTTTCCCTTTTTTGCAAACTGACAGACAATTGGAAAACTTATCTCCTTTTGCATAGGCTTCGGCTGCATCGCTATAACACCCTGCTAGTGTGAAACACTCAGCCGCTGCTTCAGTCTGCCCAAACTTATCCAAATAAATTCTTCCTGTAAAAAAATTTTGAAATTAAGATGATAAAGGTTTACAATCCAAACATCGATTAAAGTTGTGCAAAATGTAAACTTAGGAAGTTACCAGCTCTTTCATACTCCCCCAAATCACAATAACATGAAGCAGCAGGCTCAAATTTCCCAATGGACTCAAACATCGTTGCTGCTTCTCTAAGATAACTTGAAGCAGCTTCAGGATTCATTCCACGCATTTGTTCAGCTGATGTTCTGAGACCCGAAGCCTTGGCCAATTTCTCCCACATCTTGTCTCCAGCTCTTTCAAAGCACATTGTCGCCATCACAAAATTGTTCTCATAGTAAAGCTGAAAAACATATAAAGGTTGTGAATAACAAACAAGATGACATACTTAATAGCAGCACGTTTCAACCAATTATAATAACAGTAAGAGATTAGATTTGACCTTTTTACCACGCTCTCGCCACTCTTGAGGGCTGCTTGCAACCCACATGGCTTGTGCCATTGAATCATCAAGTTTCCTTAACTGGACCAGGCCCCTTCTCTTCCAGTAGTCGAACATTGGCTTGGAAAGCTCCTCTTTGTTCTCACATATCCAGAGTCTTTGCCTTGTCCGAGTTATAGCCACATACAATTGTTTCAATTCAGAACACAAGACATTATGTCT